GCTTCGCATGCCATTGACTGAAATTTTGAACAAAATTAAAAACATAAATTAAAATGGGACAGTGAGTAAAAAAATATTAAATATAATAAATTAAATGTATCGCTCAGGCATTAATGAAATTGGCCTAAGCCTTATAATGTAATTAATATTAATTAATAATAATAACAATAATATTAATAACAATATTAATAATTATAAATAACCATATATAATTTCGCCATTAATTAACATAGCCTAAGCCTTGTAATCAAGAAGCACCTACAGTATACTATATTAGGCCTATAATCCAAACTCATTGCCTTAACTTTTAGTAATTCTAGGCGGAAGCGCAGGTTAACTCGGCCCCAAGTCAACACGGCCCCCATGTCAACTCGGCCCCATGTCAACCAACCCCAAGTCAACTTGACCCCAATTTTATATTGTTATTATTATTATTAGTTATTCTATATACCTTTGTATAATTTTTATTAATATCATTTTAATATTATTTTTATTAATGCAGTTTTAATTATTGTAAGTGCATGTAAATGAACCGAAATAACAAAGGCAACGCCGTTAAAAACACTTTAATTTTGGCTTTGCATTCAAATCTCTTGGTAAATATTCAATAAATACCGTACACAGTAAATTAGGGCCGAGTTGACTCGAATTCGTCATGACATAGGTTAAACAATTATCCAAAACCGCGGCCAACTAAAAAATAAAAATTTTCACAGTATGTAACTCAAATTCAAATAGGGCCTAACACTTTTTATTATTCGTGCAGCGAAATCAAATAATACATATGTCGTTTTTTAAACGACTCATTATATTAGAATGGCAATGTGTTTTTTTCAAAATCAGACAGCGAGCAGCAATCTTGTATCTTAAAAGTTTTGTAGACGTTTATCTTTGGTTGATGACCTTTTGACCTCCAGAATTGCGATTTTCGAATCGAGTCAATCGAGACAACCCGAGTGGAGTTTCATGCAAATGTTTCGTACGGAAAAAAAAATCGCAAACGGGACAACCATGAGGAACAGCCCAGATCCCTCGGATGGGTCCATGGCACGACAATAAGGAATTGAAAGGCTTGCCTTCCCCTACCAAATGGCGCCACCACTACAACGAATATAATGCTAAATTGACTAGATTTAATCGTGATTCAAACGTGCTGAGGAGGTTTTACAGTGTATAAAATCATTATCTGTCCTTTATAATTGATATCTTATCAGATACTGGACCAGGAATATAAAGTACCTCTAAGAACAGAATTCACCGGTCTTGTCCCGAACAGCTTATACAATATTAGTATCAATTCAAAGTATGGCTCAGGATCATCCTACGCTACTGACGACGACAACACATGCATATTTCAGGTTCAAACGTTGGCAGAAGGTACATGATCAAATACTGCTATCAATACTAATAATAATATATTGTAATATTAATGAAAATGATGATGATGACAATGATGATGATGATGATGATGATAATGAATTTGGTATTATGATGATGATGATATTATGAATTTGATGATGAATTTTATTAATTTTCTTCAGCTCCAGAAAAACCAGCAAGAATTATTGACATTACATCTAATACAAATAAGGCATGCCTGTCACATGATGTCAAAGTTTATTGGAAGGTAATACTGTAATATAATGCGAATAATACTTTATTCAAATTTGAAGTAAAATACAAATTGAAGTTTAACATTAAAATACATAATAAAATGCCTGTCACTAAACAGTATGTAATACAAGTACCTTTAAATATATTTAATTTGTCAGTAGATCTTTTTTTGTATAACTCTATAATTTATAGGACATATTCTAAATAATGTATTGTTATAGGAACCAGACAAACAATATCTGCACGGGAAAATCACACAGTATGATGTGCAATACGCAAGTTACGACCACAACGCAACTGATTCCGGAGTAGTGACCGTTAATGCTTCTAAAAATTACGCCACACTGTCAGATTTATCTTGTTGGAAGAAATACAAAATTATACTTGTAATGTGGAACTCTGTTGGAAATATTTCTGATGTACGTTGGGAAATTGGCTGGTGTGACGTATGTAAGTTAACTATGTTTATTAATATTCGAATGGTAAACTTAGGAAAGAATAACAACTACACATACTTACTTCAAACGTCTTTAAGTTTTTTTGGGTTTTTTTTTGTTTCCTTAAAAATACTAAATTAGATATTGATTGGTTGAAACCAAGAGACATCACATTTAATAACACACATGTTTGGTGGAACATCCCGTTAAATTTCCCTAATGGGTGCATACGTCGATATAAGGTTACGGTAGAAACTGACCAGGGAAACTTTGCTCAACTTGAAACGGACATGTCTATAATCAACGTACAACACTACGTGATGCACAACGCCTCAACATTAACAGTTCAAGTCACGCCGTTTATCATTAATGGCAATGATACAGATTTTACCGGTAGTGGAGCCTTGGAAATATTTCATTTACGCCCACCAAACAGAGGTAAACTTTCATCTTATTTGCAGAACATCCTATTTTGAAAATAATCAGTAAATTGAATTTTTGAAAAATAAAATTGTATCTGTTTTCTCAATTATTTCTTCAAACACTGTTTTATTATTTATTTGTACAGTATTTAATTTATCACTCCCCACCCCCACCCCCCCAATCAAAACTCTAACTGTCACTTTATAGCCAATATAAGCTGGCCTAGCTTTAAATTGAAGATTATAATATGAAAATATTTTTTCTTGACTAGCAATTCTTATAAAATGTACTTTCTATGCAATGACGAATAAAGAATTATCAGTGTTTATTAACATCAATGATACCTATATATTGGAAAAGAACAGGTTTGTTATTACAGTATGCCTATCATACAGTACAATACTTGCTCTCATTTTTTTTTTGGTTTTTTTTTTTTTGGTTTAACGTTGGAAAAATACCTTTGTTCATTTGTTTCATTGATGTTAATTTTTATGAATAAGGTGAGGGGGTAATAGAGCATTCCCCAGCAGAGAAAATTTTAGTACAGTATTTGTTTTGTTTGTTGGTATTAACTTTTGGTTCCATGTGGGAACACTTTAACTACCCCCACCACAATATTCACCATCTCAAAGAGACTCTCATAGCCAGTAACTTCCGTTCTACTGAACCTGTCTCTTATACACATCTAGATGTGTATAAGAGACAGCCTTTTCATGATAAATAACACGTTTTCAGGCATCGCCCTTCTTCAGGTGAACATGCCACAGCATCTGTATGGTTATGTGACTATGGATAGCCGATTAACAGACAGTATTTACTCATGAAATTTATAAATTATTAAAAGTATTCGACCTATTGTTGTTTACTTTAACATACTTTACAATGCTTGGCCAGTGATAGAGGAAAATGTTTGGCGTTTTTTAGACCCCTCCTCCAGAAGAGTGAGAATAGTTGTGGAATTTTCTAACTAAAGCTTATTGCATGATCAACAATTTTTTCAAGCAACCTAAATGGTGAACATGTTACCTCACATGTCATTATACAGTAATTTTCTTGAAGATGCTAAAACGATAGCAAGGCATTTTTCTTTTGTTTTTTAGCTTGTGTCACACAAATATACAGACATGTGCAGCAATGTACCATTTCATAAGGACAGCAATCCGATGGAAGTGTTTGATCAACTCCTATCGCCATCGGATAAGAAGTTGCCACCGCAAAATAGAGATAGGCCTATTGCCAGTTCGGAACTCGAACCGGTAATGATCACCCTTACAGAAAATGTAATAAGTGATATCGAAGAACAATCTATAGTAAATACATGTTCATATGCAAAAATTAATTTCGAGATGATGTCTAAAATTCAAGAAGAAAACAATTTGAACATTGAAAACAAATCCATTTCTGTAATACCAGCTGAAACCTCGGAATCATCAGGAATGTCGTGTCTCTCAAAATATTCAACAGAGCAATACGTAAAAGCGGATTTCGGATTCCCGGTGGTAGGAAGAAGTAACGATTCCGGATATGTGACCAATAGGCCTATGCCTATTATTACAAAAACAAACTATTTACCTGTGAAGACCATCGTTTCGGGTGGAAGCCCGGTACAGACCCAGGTGCTACAATACTCATTGTAGTCGGGAGATTTTAAAATTATCTACAACAGCAGATATAATGTAATGTTTATTTAATTAAATTACACAGCAAGCAGTAATTTGTTGTAAACACCAAGGATAACCCCCACTTATTTCCAAGGTGGCCGTGGGTTGGGGGGTTCTTCTGGAGATGAATGGACTGTACACCGGGAGACAAACCCTTACTCTTTTCCAAAGAGTGTACTGCGTTCTTTAACGTAAACATCCATAATGCACAAGGGATCAACGGATTGATACATCTAATCCGAAAGACGGTGCGCATTTCAGCCTCGCTAAAATACAAGGACAGCAGCGATGGGAATTGAACCGGGGACCAAAATATCTCCACAGCTCAGTGCACACACACAGTGTGGGCCGGTATCTCAGTTAATGTTTTATACACAATCAGTTTAAAGGTATGCTTTTATAGACCTGCCTTCTATATATATTGTATGCATTTACTGTATAGACAGGCGTATGATGATAACCTATAGGCCTATCCCCCATTCTACATTCACAATTGTTTTCATGGGAAAGCTGACACTCAGTGAGCGGGTTATAGTAAAACTTTGTTAGCCATGACCAAAATTTGTTTGTATTGTGCCTTGTAAATGTGCATTGGTCGAATAAATGAATGAAATGATTTCTTTTACGCATTTTTGTCTAACGAAATATTTATTATTATTATTATTATTAC